CAACAACTGGTCTACTCAGGTCCTCCAGGACCTCCAACCACTGGTCTACTCAGGTCCTCCAGGACCTCCAATTGGTCTCCTCAGGTCTTTGACGTTTACAGACTGTTGTTAGAAGAAGAGGAGATGCTTCAGAGGAGACCTGGAACAACTTTCAACAGTTCTGCTACTTCCCTCAAATTCAACATTATTTTATTTTTCCTAAACAAATTGGTTTAATTTCTTAGTTTAAACATTTCAAACGAGGTTTTGAGATTTGTAAAAAGTTGTTTTTATTTACATTTACACAACGTCCCAACTCTTTCAGGACTTTGGTTGTAAAACGAGACAGGAGGTGGAATGTTGCAGCAAGTTCCAGCAGTAAACTGAACAAACAAACAAACAAAAACAAAAACATGATCAGTGCGTCAACATCAAGTAGTTTTGTAGCAAACAACAACTTTCTTCTCACCTGAACCGTAACAATTCTTAAACTATTTAATTTCTTACAAGCTCATTTTCAGTGAAAGTTTCAGTTTGAAGTTGTTGTTTTTAAGTGCTGCTTATTAAGCATCAAATATTCTCACTTAATTATTATTTTATTTTGTAGTTTGGGGAAAAAAATAAAGAAGCTTTTCGCCAAAACCAACAACGAACCAAGGGTTCTGCACAGGCTCGGGCCTGGTTTCTCACGTCCTCGGAACAGGAACGTTTTCTAAAAGCAAATAAAACTTCCTCCATTTCCTCCTCGTCTCTGAGGACTGTCGTAGCACCATCCTGGGGAAAACCCAGATCCTGAACGGTGAGTCCGTGTCCACGACGACGCCCGGCTCCGTCACTGTGGAGCGAGCGGGATGCCCCTGGCGTCGGTGACTTGGCCTTCCTGCAGGTTTTTCACCAGCTGCGCGAGCCAGCGTTTGGTGGTGGTGTCGTCCTTCAGCACCTGGGCGAAGGTGCTGTCCTTCAGCTGGTCGGGAAGACACTGACGCAGCGCCTCTCTGGCTCTGAAGAAACATCAGCGCATTAATTAAAACACCATCTTTATGTTTGTGGCTTTTTGTGACCAGCAGCTGGTCGACGGACTCAACAAAACATGGAAACAAACGACGTCATGTTGCGGCGAAACGAGACCCGACGATTTGTTTTGGGCGTTTTATTCTGTTATGTGTCGACACAACTTATTCGTTTGATTTGAAAGACTTCTAGTGCCTGAATCCTTCAGACGTACAGCCATAACAAACAAAAGAAAAAAGAAACTGTTAAAATGCTCCAGTAAAGGAAGTGACTATTAGATAAAATGCTCTAGAAACCTTCAACCTTTATTGTTACAAACACAGGAGATTATTTTAACGTAAACCAGTGAAGGAGGGTTAAATTACATTTATTGGAAATGTTTATCCAAGGGTGCATCAAGCACGTCTTTAGATCCATCTCCTGGATTATTTAAGAGCGCTCCTCTTCGAGCTGCATTCCTGAGATCCAACACTGAAATTCCTGTTGAGAAAGCGGCCATGACGGACAGAAACCTGCACTCATCAGTCAGATAAAGTGAGAGAAGACTGCAGCAGAGAGTTGCAACCTGACCTAAAACACTTCCCTGAGACGCTGGCGGCGGGACGTGTCGAGAACACAGACACAGGACGCTCAGCCATATTTTCTTCCTGATCACACTAAACAAACTTGGTAATATTCTAAAAGAAAAACGGCAAAGTTAAGTGTGAATCTGTCCCCTACGACACATTTTAACTGTGGTAAAATGAAGAATGTTGATCATCTTGTTAAATTATACTTTGGTATTAGTTTTAAAATAAGGAGATAGATAATCTGTTAGCACATCAGCATCAGATTATTATCAGTATCAGGGCTTTGAACCTGCTCGCAGTAAGGTGGTACGCTCTGATGGGCTGCAGCAGCTCTCTGCAGGTAACGAGCATTTAGCTCCGGATTGGTCATTTACTGACACGCCTACTGGATTGATTGACAGGTCGCGTCGTAGATCTGACTCGTGGAAAATATAAAAAAAACGAGAGCTGCAAAAAAAAAAGTCTTGTACGACTTTATTCCCGTAATATGAAGACTTTATTCGACTTTATTCTCGTAATTTTATGGCGTTAATTTTATATTTCTTAAAGTGGCCCTAAAGCTTCGTCGTAGTCCCCGCAGAACAAAGAGAAGGATGTTCCAGCTGTGCTGCTTTGTTCAAACTTTCAGGACTTAATGGAAGACGCTGCATACATTAAAGTATAATTGTAAAAGTCCTTATTACTGTAAGTACTCAACAACTACTTAAAGGTACCGGAGGAAGACACGGCTTTCTGATCAGATATAAAAGCAGTCCAGGTCTGAAGAGTTTCCTAACTCCTTCTAAACTTACATAATTACTGAAAACTGCTCCATTGTTACTGATGTGAAAATGGAAAGATCAATGGCTTTTTGTACAGGTCCTAAACAATTAATATCTTACCTGCTGTCGATAGCTGGAGAAACTGTTCAAGTCTGAGCAGACTGATGAGCTTACACAGCCCATAATTTCACATTACATGGTTATTTACATAGAAAACTAAGGTTATTGACAGCAGCTGCAGCAAGCTGTAGCACTTCTGGTGCAGCCTGGACCACTTCCTGCAACAATATCGTACATTTTTCCATCAGAGTAAGCTGCATTGCAAAATTTGTCAGGGATTTAAAGGTTTACAACCCAATGCTTGCATGAACCACTATGAAAGTTTGAGATGTTTTAGGACACCATAGATCCATGTTGGTCTCGGTTCCGCTCAGACTAGCCGTTAGCTCGTCACTTCAGTCACAATTAGATTAACTCTCCAAACTGAGGTTGTTCATACATCTACGGCAGGTAAGACGATAATCTTTGCAGAGAACCCTACTCCACAATGTGTTGAATACGCCTTTAAAAGTGTGTTTCTCGATAAAAGCTGGTTTTAAAATCACGGTGATGCGTCGCACATGAAGGAACTTGACCAAGAATAACATGAACTGGAGTCGAGTTTAGATATAAACTGATAAACGGAAACATTTTAGCAGTTCTCTGTGTGAATTTGTGCAACATGTGCAGCATTTCCACAGCAGAATGACAATACCCCAAGCAGGTTGGTCTTTCTGTGTGAACTTTCTGACAGAAATCAGAAAAACAAACTGGTTATTATTAATTCATCACAGCTTCTCGTCATTTCAGAGCCAGATTCAGACAAATACGACTCAAAACTCTCACTTCAATGCAGTTTTACTGATGGTTGTAAGCCTGTTCATTTGCTTATGACCTACTGTGGTCGTTCCACAAATTCAATTTAAATTTTTCAATAAACTTCAGATAAACTGTTGTAAATGTAGAAACAAGAATTAGTCATATTTACTGGATAATACAGGCACAGAAAATTATAGTAACACAAAAATTTATTAGAACGATGTGAAAAATAAGTTGCCGTGTTGCATTTAAAGAAAAACCAACAAACTGATTTTATTTTATGTTCATTCTGAATGTCCTGATGCTCGTGCACTTTCTTTTACTCTTATATTATTTTTACAAATAATTGACATAAATCTAAAAAAAAGAGCAATTTTCTCATATATAGTGTTTTTTTTGTTTAAATATTTAAAAAGATTAAAGAAAATCAATTTCATGATCATGTATTACTTAAAGAAATAAACTATCAAGTGTGTTTATTTTAAGGGTTATGTTAGTTATATACAAACTATAATAACAACATTAAAAAAGTGTCTCTCTTAAAAAATAAAGGTTGCAGCTGAATGACAACATCTATTTTAGTAACGGTTTAGAAGAAAAATCCAGATTAAACTTTGAACTCAGTCATAACATACGCAGGTGGTTCTGTTCAGGATTTCTTCTTGTTCTTGAAGAAGCTTACGTTGGATTTATTTCTTCGTATTAACAGTTTGCCCATCATAACCTGACAGAGCACAAACTCGTATTTCTTTCCTGTCTTATGTATTATTTTTGTTTTACAAGACTACAAAGATAAGGCAATAAGAAGCTTAAACCACAAAATTTAATTACTTTAATTAAAGTTAATTCCTTTCATAATGCCATTTAGTTGACATCACAGCTCCACCTAGTGGTGAAACCTGGCATTAAAATGATAAACAAATAGAGAGACAGCGCGACGTTTTAATGACAAAGCAGAAAGTACCTGAGGTTATCGGAGAGGCGCAGGTAGCAGCGGACCACGTGTTTCAGCAGTCGAGCTGACGGTTCTTTGGAGAGCTGCAGCACCATTTTACCCTGCGGAGAGCAGGGTGGGAACGTTACAGCGAGCAGGAGTTCGTCCGTGTTACAAAACAGCGTTCGGAAACACGTACGAGAATCATGGCCACGTGGGAGAAACGTTCGTACGTCTGACAGATATAAGCCAGACCGGTGTCGTCCAGCAGGATCTTCTGAAGTATAAAAGTGGCAACCTGACACATAAAAAACAAAAAGTTAGTTATACGGAATGTAGTCTTTAATGAAACAGTGACAAGAAGAACTCGCAGTTATTATGAATGTGATGCTTCATTATGTTCTGTGAGGCATTTAGGGACATCTGTAATATATTGTGTAGTGATAAACAAACCCCAACTATACCACAATGGGAGAATGAAAAATGGAAAAATGCAGAATTTAGCTCTTAATGTGTATATTGCTAAATATTATTTTACTTCAGGGGTCAGACTAAATCAGTGATTCCCAACCAACCCAGTTGTGCCTCTGATTGGCTCCTTGTGATTAACTTTCAACCAACCATAGTTCACGGTGAGTCACCCAATTTCCTATATTCGACCCAATCAGAAACAGTGAAACATGAGCTATGACTTCCTGTTTTCAACCAATGTCTTGTGGGTAAAGTAGTTTATAAAACTCAGCTGTAAATTAGTGGACCAGCAGGTTTCTAACAAGTGGTGATAAGCTATAGAACATTTAATTACAGTACGCTAAGGACAAACATTTAGAAGAGCCGGTTCTGAGACTGTGATCATGAGCACAAGAATGAGATCCTGAATACAAGCAGCAGAAATGAGCTTCTTCTGTTGGGCTTCTTGAAAAAAGTACATCTACAAAATGTGCATGAACAGAGGATGCATGCAGGTTTTATTGGCACACTTTGGCAACTATTTTAATCTCTACAATTAAAAGGAGAAGGAATTTAAATAAAGGTCACAAAAAATGTATTAAGAATTGGGTCTACAGCATAAAACAGTCTGGTGACACTAAGCATGCTGATTTACTCAGCACTTAAATGTTTTGGAGAAAAAAATGAAACCATTCTGTATTGATAGAGTCTACTTAAGGGAGAAACTCTATCATTTTTTCCCCATAGCCTTAAAGATACACAAAATAGTTAAATATTTTCATCTGGACAGTTTCGTTTTAGAAGAAACTTCATCCTTGATCAGTCTGAGCCGGCCAACAGGATCTGTCGTATTAAGAAGCACCTTTGAAACATGTCAGTAAGGCGCTACTTAACGCGACAGATCCTGTTGGCCGGCCTCAGATGATGAAGCATTTCTTCCAAAAACAAACTAGCCAGATGACATGAGTTAACTTTTTTGTGATTTATTTTACCTCGATGATTGAGCGTACTTACTGTTTTTAGTCTTAAAGATAAAATGAAATAATAATCTGCTGAAATAACGGGCCTGCTTACCATAAAGCTGATTCAGTCACGAGAAAATATTTCAAGGTGATTGAAACCAAAAAGATTTGTTTCATGCAAACACATGCACACAAAATTATTTCCCAACCAGGACCACAAACATGCAACAAACAACCTTCAGCGCCCTTATATGAATAAAATTGAAACGCACCAGACATCTCAGCCTTTTGCCCGAGTTTAAAATTGTTAATGTAAAGCTTTGGGAACCCGAGTTAGACTACAGAAAATGCAGATGTAATAAAAAGGTACCGTCTTGGAGAGCTCACTCCCTGATTCCATGATGCGCAGACACAACGGGATGATTTCAGTCGTGAGAAGGAAGTTAATCACTTCTTGTTCATCTGTTTTGACCAACGCACCTAAAAAAATACAAACAACAAAAATCCTAGTATCTGCACAAACTTTGAATGTTGACCACTCTGTGCAATTACCAGCAAATAAACCCCCTAAACAGGAGGATGAAATACCTATGACCCCCAGGCTGGTGAGGCGCAGGTACTCAAACGGTCGTGTTTTGCTTACAGTGTGCAGGAAGGGATAAAGGAAAAGAGGGATGTGAGCTGCAAGAAAAGCTGACCTGGTGATGAGAGAAGAATTAAAGGTGCTTTAATAAATAGGACCGGACATTTGTAACGCATAAAAACGAGAAGCAAACGATAAAAACCCGTCTACGTTAGATATGACATGCATCAATCTTTTCGGCTCCTTTTACCGCGTCTCTGGATGAGAGGCGACGCACTGCAGAAGTGCCAAGGCATTACACACTCTGTTAGACTGATGAGCTGTGAGCGTTGGCGGGTTTATAGATGGATAGATGTTCACTATTTCCTAAAATAAAAAAGGACAAACCCGTTTAAAAAAAAAAAAAGACATGTTCACAGTTCAGCAGTAAAAAGAAGCTCCTGCACGTCTGACAGGTGCACTGCTTACCTGCAACAGTGCAGCAATGGTGCCGAAGGAGTGCCAGAGCATCGGCGCCAGGTCCGGCACCGATTCGCGTTTCTTGCTTAGCTCCAGCAGGGCATTTTCTCTGGTTTCTGGGCTGGACAACTCGTTGATCCATTGGTAAATTTTCTCCCGGTCTACTTGGGCTAGGGCTGTGACGTTAGTTACAGCCTGGAAAATGCGAGACAAAAAAATCTGGTCATCACCACAAGTCGGTTCAAGACTTCTACAGCTCTTATGCGTCTCTCCAAGTAAGCCACATTTCTTGTCTGATATTTCTTTAGAAACCATCTTGTTAGTAGAAAACTACTATTTTACGTTAGTCAGACTGTCCTCTTAATGTTTGTTTTTAAAAATGCAATTAAAGAAATGTGAACAAATTATGTGTATATTATGAGAACCTGCTGAACCTCAGAACATGTGCCCACCAGCTTACCTTCATCTTTACCAGAACCTTCAACCTATCCCTGGCCCTGGCAGTCGTCCCGTCCTGCCTAAAATCAACTACAATTATTCCAGTATCGAAGAAGTCAGCCAGTCCGAATGATTATCGTCCTGTGGACCTCACTCTGGTAACCATGAAGTACTTTGAGAGCTTGGTTCTTCAGCACATCAAGAGCCATCTCCCTGCAGGCTTCGACCCATACCAGTTGGTATATCACACAAACAGGTCTACAGGATGAATAGCTCTTAACTCTGCACTGAGCCACCTGGAGCAGCAGCAGAGCTACAGCCAGATGCTCTTCGTGGATTACAGTTCAGCGTTTAATACAATCATTCCGAACACTCTCATCACCAAACTGCTTGTTCTCGACCTCCCTACTCTCACTTTTGCCTGATAAAGGACTTTCTCACCAACTGACCCCAGACTGTGAGATTTAGTTGCCCCCCCATCTCTCTTCCACTCACATGCTGAGTACTGGCTCTCCACAGGGCTGTGTGCTGAGCCCCCTCTTGTACTGTCTCTACACCCACAACTGCAGACCAGCCCACAACAACAACCTCATCATCAAGTGTACTGACGACACCACAGTGGTCAGACACATCCTAAAGGGAGATGAGACAACTTCCAAGAAGGAGGCCCTGAAGCTGGCAGCCTGGTGTTTAAAGAACAACCTGGCTCCGAACACCAAGAAAATCAAGGAGATCCATCATAGACTTCAAGAAATACAGCTCTGACCCAGCCCCACTCTAGATCAACGGTGAATGTGTTCAAGTAGAGGGTCCTAACCTCCCGGTTTCTTGGTGTCCTTATCTCCACTGACCTCTCCTGGACGGATAACATCACCACAGTCATCAAGGAAGCTCAACAGCAACTTCACTTCCCGAGAGTTCTCAGAAGTACCTTCCAGCCTGCTGCTGACCTTCTATTGCTTGTCCATTGAGAACCTGCTCACATACTGCATCACACTATGGTATGGCAGCTGCACCGTGACAGACAGGGAGAGGCTCCAGAGAGTAGTAAATGTGGCACAGAAGGTCACTGGACGCCCCCTCCCAGCGGGATATTTACATCTCCCACTGCCTCAGCAGATCAAAACACATTATCAAGGACAGTTCTCACCCTAGTTTTGAACTGTTTGACCTGCTGTGCTCAAGGAGGCGCTACAGGTGCTACAGGTGCAGCAGAACAAAAATGAACAGACTCAGTACTAACCATTCTAAACTCACACTGCACAGCCTAGTGCTTAGATATTTTTTAGTTAATGTTTTTCTTAGTTCATATCTTACATCTTATTACTGTTTTTCTTTTACATTTTATTGTTGGATGTAACTGGGACCCTGTGCACAAAATTTTGTTCCACCACATGTACCACATGTTGTGCCAATGACAAATAAAGAAACTATGACTATGACTAACCTTCCATACCCCTGGACTTCCTTTTACCCACCCACTGTGCATTTTTTAAATATGTTTACTTTAAACATCTAATTACTTATTTTATGGACAATATTGCACAATGCCATGTGTGCAGTGTGAAATGCCACCACTGTTTCAATGTAATACCACTACTACTGTTTTTAAAGTTTTATTTATTTTTACTTTTTGCTTGTGCATATGTTGGCACCGTGACTTGGGTATTGTCAGTGAAAGGCATTCATTCAATCATTCATAGCAAAAAGCATACTTCAAAAGAATAAATAAAATCTGATCTATCTATCTATCTATCTATCTATCTATCTATCTATCTATCTATCTATCTATCTATCTATCTATCTATAACAGGTTTTATTTCCAAATAACAAATAGCTTAATGCATTTTAATTTGATGAAAAAGTAAAGTATTGAATAGCATCACACAATAAATAAAACATTGTTAGACAGCAAATATTTTGATGTTTTAAAACACACGAAAAGCTAAGACGTTTACAGAAAAAATACACACCGTTCCCGTAGTTAGCATCCTCTGAAGCTCTCTGATGTCCAAATGATACTTAAAATTTTCTATAACTGCTACATAAAAAAATAAATTATATCTAAAACACAATAACTACTAGCTAGCTATTCATCAGTTAGCAAAGTCTTGTGTCGTTAATGAAGTTAACGTTAAAATTTCGCGAGATGATGGCAGTACATTAAAATATCGCGAGAAGTTGATAAAAACCGCTCTCCACTTCCGTTAAAAAAAATTAACAACTATCGCGAGATTACAGCATTCCCTCCTTTCTTTATACCTAGAACTGACCAAATCTCGCGAGATGAGGACGGAACGCACTCACCTCGTATTGCTGTAAAACGTTCCCGCCATCATCGCACGTCGCTGTGAGGCGTCAACAACAAACCCACCGGAGAGAGACGAATGCCGGTGAAACCCACTTTCTGCTCCCGGATGAACACCCAGAGAGGTAGTTCTGCATGCTACATGCTTTAAGGTGAGCCCAGCACCGCCGACAGGCAACGAGCTTTCCCAACGCGATCAAGCCGTGGCTCTGTTTTCATCCCCAGTTTACAATCAGGCAAATTAGCCACTCGGCTAGCTCCTGTTAGCCTGTTAGCAGGTGCGCTAATGTCGGCCTCCCCCTCTTTCCATTCAGCCCCTGCAGAAAAAAAACAAGACGAATTTGCTCCAATCGCTGATTTTAAGTTTCTCTGGTGTTCTTCCTTCAACTTTTCTGCTTGGGAACACATCTGTGACCGACTGTCCTTCGAAAATAAATTAGACGAAACCAAAGCACGTCGACATTGAGTTCTCCCAAACAAACGCGTTATGCTTATACCAAAACCGTTATTTAATTAAAGTACTGTAGTTTCCTGTCTTTGGAAAACGGTCCCTCTGTTCAGAGTGTATTTTTTTGTGCTGTGCTGATACGTTGACGTAAAGCTAGTGTTTTGTTGTGAATTTAAGCAAGAATTTGTACAAACTGATCTGCTTTTTGTGCATAAATGGGCTGAGACACAGCTACTGTACTGTCTTAACGACTTGAACCACCTCATTTAGTGCCTGTCTTCTCACTTTCAAAATACAGTAGACCCAATGAGCCAGATCATCTGTAGGACATTGATTGAAATCAATATTTTTTGAAACTTACTAGCACTAAACTGTGCACTATGTGGACGTATTACTCGCTCATCCTGTGCATTATGCACCTTTTAATTATTTAAAGTGCACCATGTGTTGTAGTTAGTTTTATTGACATGAAGAGTATATGTCTCTGTTTTTAGACTGGTTTGAAAAACTAAAATACCTTTAGAAAGCCTGGAAAACTATTGATCAAGACCAATTTAAATTTATGCAGAACAATCTGACATTTTAGGATGAAAATGCAAACGAATCAAGTGGAACTAGACTTGTGCTTTAATGTACTGCAGACACATTAATGTTCACGCTTGACCTTGCGAGATGTTTATGGTGAAATAACATGGTTGATTCAAAGTTGTTATCTGGTCATGTTTTGTGTACTGACACACATTTTAATGTATTTTGTGTAGGTTTGTGATTGATTGCAAGTCCAAGCCTGCCAAGTGCAGTAAGGATTGTAAGCCATGGCAACCTTAGTGCCCAAAGTGTCCAGTGGTGGCGCCATCAAGATCCGCTTCAACAGCATGGACCTGGGCACTACCAAATGGAAAGAAGGAACTTTTGAGATTTTAGAGAAGGACAACAAAGTTAACCTATGTCTGAAGTTCAACAGTGGTGGCGCTTCTAAAACATTTCAGGTACAAGTTGTTTGTTTGTAGTCTTCTCAGTTGGTGTAACTTTTACATCAGAGGTGGGGATCTTTAGGTATCTCATGATCTGCTTCAGAGGGCTGCAGTTTGATTGTAAAGTAAAGTGATGCATCCGTTATCATACACTACAAACAAAATCATGAGAAAAGATTACCTCAGAGCTAAAAGAAGCCAAATATTTTGCACTAGGCTGCAGTATAAAATACTTCAATTCATTTCTGTTTAATTATATAGCGCCACATCACAAAAGAAGACGTCTCAGGGCACTGTACAGAAACATTCACATACATTTAAATTCAGTTAATAACGTTATCGAAGGAGCCAACATTTCTTTGTGTTTGCCGGGTTAATTTTGTCAGTTTTTGAAGAAGTTGCTGTATAAAGTGTTAAATGCAAATTAATGAAATCAACATATTGCACTGCCAGTGCTTTGCAGAACCATTTTTTCCTAAAAAATATCAATAAATTCCATGTTTTTTTAAATTTAATTTTTTATTTGTGGGCATAAAATAATTAAATAATATCCCACTTTATTTTTTTCTTTGGATTTTAACAAAAACGCAAAAAAAAAAAAAAAGCTTTTTTAGTTGATTTTAATACATTTAATACTTTTGTAAAATGTTTAAAAATCTGCCGTTAAATGATAATTAAAAACACTTTTTGTAAACTTCAGTTCCTTGCTTGTTTGCAAGTCTCAGAGTCAGAGATTCTTTATTGTTCGTTCGACAGACTTTTAACTGAGATACATTTGTGTTTTGGAAACATTTCACCTAAACTGGTGTAACATGGTTTTATTTTTTTTTTGTACCTGAATATAGAATTTCCCATTTTGCTTCGCTTGACGTGTTTTTAAGGGAAAGTTTGTTGAAGTGATAAATAACAGCTCTCCTCTTTCGTTTTTTGCTAGTGTATGTGGTCACATATTTCCTCGTGTGTTTTCATTCATTATGTCCCAACATACTGGGCTGTCACTTTGAATGACAGCCCTGCTCATCTCTGTCTTTGCGTCTTCCTTCCTTAGATAACGTTACTAATTGCCATTTATAATGTATGTGAATGTTTTTGTTCAGTGCCCTGAGATAACTTCTGCTGTGACTTGGTGCTATATAAATAAACTGAACAGAATTGCGTGCACACTCCGCAACATGATGCTATCAACGTTAACTCCATCTTCTGCGCCACATCGTCCCCAGGAAATGCCAAATGCAGACATGAATGAATCGGAATCAGTTTAAAAATGTTAATAACTGACATGTTTTGTATGCAGATTTTGTGATACATCTTTTTTTACGTGCAGCTGTAATTAGACATAAAGTTCTTCCTGATGTTTAGGTCAATGCCTGAATGGAAGATTAATTGGACTTTTACTGAAATGGGAGACAGTGGTAGAAACATATCTCTTTATATTTGACTAATTGTTTATTTGAACATCTTGAATTGTTTTTATATCCCCTCAGCTGAACCAGAACGTGAAAAGCTTCTCTCAGAATCTTAACCGGATCATGTTGACTCTGAAGGACAACAGCGTCATCACGTTGGATAAAATGCCCCCCTCTTTGGTTCAGAGGACGAAAGAATACCTGGAGAAACTGAAGCAGGGAAAGTCAGGTAATCCGATTTTTTTTTTCCATTTTCATTTTCACACTTAAGGAACCCTTTTGGACAGTCTTAAACCAAACTATTTCTCAATGGCATAAAATCTTTTAGACTTTTTTTAAGGGGTGGGGTAAAACATTACACCGGCTGTGACCGTTATAGATGCTGACACATAAAATTACAAAATAATTAGTTGAACTTTTTGTTGCACTTCCACTAAATTATACGTTTGCCACCATTGAGCTAAGCAGCCGTGACATCCACCTCAGCAATTGCCCTTGCTTTTAGGATTTAATCTGCTGGAGTACTTAAAAAAAAAAAAAAAGCAAATTTAAGCCAATTTAAAAAATATTTAAAATGAATCAGCTGTGTGGTTCTTTTAGACCTGGATATTCAGGGCTGTAGCCTCGGATGGAGAGCTCATGTGCAGGTGTCAAAACACAGTTTTAATGCTCTAATGTTACAGAAACTAAACTGAAACTCTGCAACTATTGAGTCGTAGTCAAACAAGTACAAGTACCTACATTTGAATACTTACTAATGTCAAGCACAAACCCAGGCACAAGTCAGTGACGTGTTCAGATTAGGCACGATGAAAGAAGGAAAAAGGCTCCGCTTTGCACAATCTCTCTTCAGCCTTTTGCTTGTTTTCAGTGAGCTGCTCACACACACTTCACAAAGTTCCTGATTTGATTAGTATCCATCTCCTTCGGGCACTGTCGGCCTTTTCCTCACGTTCTTCTTAGAAGATATTTTGGTAGACATTAGAGATGATTCAGTTTTGTGCTGCAGTAACAAAAACATATAAGCAGTTTGTTATGAATGGAAAACTGAAATTTTTGAGCGTATTCAAAATTCAAGCAACAAGATTATGAGCTTCTGTGACTCTGTTGAGGAAACTGAGAACTCCTGAGGGACATTTTGGAGACCGTCTCGTGAAAGCTGTTCATCAACCTGTCGCAGCTCAGTGAGGTGCCGGCTAAAGCGTTAAACTACCAATCGGACTGTGTCACAGTAGAAAAACGTTCACGCCACCAGTTTCCTGTCCAAGCTGATGACTCCAATTTGTTCTTCAGTTTTGAAGTCCTCCCATGGAAGTGCAAACTTCAGCGTGCTCGGTAACCGCTCCATGAAAAACGAGAACAGCCCATCGGGGGAAAAACAAGTGGGACACTTTTTATTTAAACATATTCAAGAAATAAAGAGTTGCTTTTTTTAATAATTTGACTAAAACTCCCCAACGTGTTTCAGACGATGCCAAGGCGACCGAGTGCAGAAGGTCGGGAGGACACGACCCCACGGAAACCTCTGAGCAGCCCGAGCAGAGCGGCCTCCACACCCACACGTGCTGGACTGTCTGAAAACAGGCGAGTGGGAGATTCTTGCTGGGGTTTCTTCTCAGACTCTAGTGATCCACGGCGTCCAGTTTGCACTAAAAGTACTCGCTCTGATTATGTCGTGTATCTGTCAACATGTTTGTTTCAGAGGTGAGAAGAGGAAGAGGCTCCTCAACTCTGAAAGTGACTTAACCGAGGATTACCCCAAAGAAAACGATTCCTCGAGGTGAATGCAGACTCTGTTTGTGTTAGTTTGCATACATTTACATCTCACTCTATAGTTCAAAGTACAGAGTAGATGACATTTTGTTGTTGAACTATTTTATCAGACTACAAGCAGACAACACTTGTTTTTCTGTCTAAGCTCTTAATTTTACTCTTTCGTTCAGAAGTATTTCTTGTATTCCTTTTCTATTTATTGCGTTTGTGTTTTTAGCAACAACAAAGCCACTTCTGACCCATCCAGAAAGTTTCTCCTGAGCTGTAAAGAGAAACTGAAGCAGACTGAGGAGAACAGGAGCTCAGGTGAACTGCTGCCTCCGGGGCTCAAAACACGACGGCGTGTTTGTAATAGAGTCGACGCTTCAGTTTAGAACGTCACTTTCATTTTCTTTACTTTGGATCATTATGTTACAGCAAACAAATAGTTATCAAGTGATTTATCTTAACCCTTAGGAGGTCGTGTTAAAACAATTTTTTTGTCCCTGATGGCAAAAAATGTGCTTTCCAAAATTTGCTGGAAAAAAAAAACTTTTGTCTTTTAACATTACTTAAGCCTCAAGTCTCAAATAATATTTATATTTTTTGGGGTTTTAATCCTTTAAAGGCCAGTATGTTCGTGAAGCTCCACCATTTTTAATGGAAACTAAACAAACACTAAAATAAATTTCAATGAGTTTTATTATTATTATTATTATTATTATTATTATTATTATTATTATTATTATTATTATTATTATTATTATAAAATGTGTCAGTGATTGGTAGCAACATTGATTTTGATGACGTTATTTTTCTACAATGTCAGATTTAACATAAAAATGTACTTTGAGTTTCCTGAGGACAAAATTGTCACTTGACCTTCCCAAAAACTTCAGTCAAAATATTACATATTAATATTTTCCACTTTTAACGAGTCTGTCTTTTATCGTTACTTCAGCCTAAAATATTCCTATCGAATGTTATTTACAATGTAACAAAAGGTAAGGAAAAGACAAATATAGCAGACCTGTTCGTGTGCATGTGAATAAATATTCTGTTATTTTAAGGGAGGTGTCGAGGAAAGTTACATTTAAGGTAATTTGTAGTTTAAATGCAAAAAAAAAAAAAATAAATTGCTGTTTCTAAACTTGGTTAGTTTTTATTATTTGTGATTACAATGTTGACCATAATTATTTTTTTCCACAATCAAGCAGCCCTGCAGTCAGGAAGAAGCGTCATGAGCTTTTAGCTTTGTTCTCCTGCTTTCTGCAGCTCCACTGGGCTCGACTCCTCTTCAACCCACGACGTTTTATGGAAGCCGATCTGCAACTAAAGACTACAGTCAGAATCACTCTTTCCTGGACAGGTGAGTCTGAGCTGAGCTAAATGTCCGAGTCGCTACTGTTCTGATAAAACAGGTGAGCAGATGCTGCTTTACTCTGACAAATGGTGCGGTTGCTCCTGTTAGGCCTTCCAGCACTGCTCAGAGCACCACAGTGAAGAGAAGCCTCGTGCTTCCCAACCACTCGACCCCCTTCAAGAAGGTTCGAACATCTCTGGACTATGGAGGCTGGAACAAGCAGAGGCCCTCTACCCTGACCCAACCACAGCCCCCGCTGCAAGGGTGAGAGATGCACACACACCTATTAGCTGATGTCTTTATTTATTGTCCACTGCTGATAAACAAAAAGTGGACTGTAATGCATTTGCCGGCTGTAAATTAGGTGTGGTAGTAGCTGAAAGTCATCCCCAACACATACCATGAGTGCCAAAGTATTGCACACGATCTTTGTTTAAAATTTGCCAGTATGTACGTGGAGTGAACTGTGTTGGGCTGGTTTCTCACAGGGCTGCCAGTAAACGGCATTCGTGAGAGGGTTTCAGTCTTGCAACTTTTTTGGGGGTTCTGAATTTCTTCCTGTGAGTTGCAGAGTTTTTGATTCCTGCATGACAACTGTTCAGGGCCTAAAGGCCACGCCGATTATAAATGATGTTAAAAAGCGGCACTAAATCTGCCTCGTTTCGTTTCTAAAGCTTACACCTGCAGATTAATCGCAAATGTGCCTACGGCTGCTTAAAACACTGTGTTCAGTGAGACTACAATAAACCTCAAGGAAAAAGTAAAATTGCAAAAATAATGTGTAATTTCCCTCAAACTCCAGGTTTTCTAATCTGGGCAACACTTGCTACATGAATGCAATCCTACAGTCCCTCTTCAGCCTCCCTTCCTTCTCCAGTGACATGAAGCAGAGCATCCCCTGGAAGAAGGTGCCCACCAACGCCTTGCTCAGGTACTGTAGGAATGTTGAAACTGGTTCTGACGTGCACCCAGCCTCAGTTGCCGTTTGGTCCAGCATATTTACATGTTGAAGGTTTTTCAGGGCGTCATTTGCTAATAATGGCAGGTGTTTATTAGAAGACTGTTATAAAGTATGTTATAAAAAAGAGAGACGTTCAGGGAAGATTGATGACTCGTTCAATTTATCCTCACTCTGTGCAGGCGATTTGCCTACCTTATGCTTAAGAAGGACGTGAGCTGTCCGGAGACTAAAAAGGACTTGTTGAGGAAGGTGAAGAACGCCATCTCCTCCACAGCTGAGCGGTTCTCTGGAAATGTGCAGAACGTAAGAGCTCCCCTGTTGATCCAACAATGTTCAGCCAGGTCATCTGGACAGTTCCTTTTTTTTTGTTGAGACATTTCACCCTCCATCTGAAGGGCTTCGTCAATCTGAGAAACTGTCCAGGTGATTTCTTTACCTGGATTATTGAGCATGAACCCTGATCCCCTGTTGATCCTTCATGTCATGGATAGAGATTCAGGAAACGGTTCCTTTTTTTTTTAGTTCTGTCTTTGGTTGACGTTTTTGGATTTTAAGTTGAGCTCTGTCTTTGGATGGGTGTTTCTTTCACACCGAATTTAAATAAATGTTTTTACAATATGTACTGTAAAAAACATTATTTTCACATTGTGACATTTAGTTTTTTATTATTTTGTTAAATGTTTTCATCATTGCAGCACGAGTTTGAGATTAAATCATATAGAAGGTTATAATTTTACATTTAAATCTACATTTATTCTAATTGACTGCGTGCCACCTGTTTTGTCAGGATGCTCATGAGTTCTTGAGTCAGTGTTTGGACCAGCTGAAGGATGATGTAGAGAAAATGAACAGGAACCTGACCAGTGATGCTGCCGCCGTCGCCTCTTCATCCTCCATTGTTTGTGAGAGCGGACCAGAGGTCAAGGTAGAACCCGGCGACGAAGCCGACACCTCCCGCGTCTACACCTGCCCCGTGGTGGTCAACATGGAGTTTGAGGTGCAGCACACGATCACCTGCAAATGGTGAGCCCCGTCAGTCGAGCTAATGATTTTAACTTTGAATTTACCCTCTGAGGTACGCCTGTTCAACCGCTTGTTGGCACAAATGGCTAATCAGCCAATCACATGGTAGCAGCTCAACCCGTTTAGGAATCTGGACATGGTTAAGAAGGGACGTGAGACTAAAACGTCACAAGAGTCAATTAAAAAAACCTTCAAATCATGATTTTGTTTGGACAAATAATCACCAAAGATGTCCCCACCGCTTCAACTCTTTTTGTGTGGCAGCAATTCAAACAGACATTGTGGCACATCAGCCTATCAGTGTTAAATTCATCTTCTCTCTGCAGCTACGTGCTGAGACGAAGAGCGTCTGTGGCACATTTATATAAAACTGAACAGACGTGTTGTCGAGTTCACTTGGTTGATGCCAAGTTTATTTCAGATTTCTGTATAAAATATTTAATGTAAGAAATCTCAGACATGGGAATTATTTTTTTCAATAAAATAATTTTGAGGGGGTGAAAAGTACCCCGCCCCTCGCACAATGATTGCTGAACATGGGCACCGGTGACCCCCGTGACCCAAAATGGAAGAAGCGGGTAAAAGATAATGGATGGATGGATGGGGTGAAAAAGTTGGTCATTTATTTGCTTATTAATTTTATCCCTTTGTGAAAATGAGTTTGACCCCCTCAGGTTCAGAGGTCACGTGGCTTTAATGAGGTGTTGGGTTGTGTACAGTTGAAGAAACGTTTTCAGGTCTGAAAAGAAAAGAAATCAGACTAGAGAGAGGTCAGTCAGCCGAGTTTGTGGTGAAACCCTTTTTTTAAATTATTGATATTTTGTCTCGTTCTCGTGGATCCAGCGTCCTGTCTCGTGACATCGCCCCTACGGTTGAACAGGCGAACACGATGAAGTTTAGTTGGGAGGTTGTTGGCTCTGCAGATGTTGGAGTGAGTGGTGCATTTTCCGTTGTGTTGCAGCTGTGGTGAAGTGGTGACCAAACGTGAGCAGTTCAATGACTTGTCCATCGATCTGCCGCGCAGAAAGAAAACCCTCCCTCTTCGCTCCATCCAGGACTCCCTGGATCTGTTTTTTAGGGTGAGTCTTTAGCATCAGTTATGCTAAAAAAAACTATATTTTTTTCAGTATTCAGGAAGAATTCGACTTTCTTTTCATGACCGTTGTCATTTTTTTTAATGTAATGTTTTTTTGCAGATGGAGGAGATTGAATACTCTTGTGAAAAGTGCAGTGGGAAATCAGCAACTGTTACACATAAGTTCAGCAAACTACCCAGGTACCTGCAACCATGAAACACAAACTCAAAAAGAAACGCATGTTTTATTTTACATTTCTAATGAAGCGGAGCTGCAAGTGGTTATGATGGGGGTCTAAGCCCCCACAACCTATAAGTCCTAATATTGATGCCTATTTATGTCCCCAAGATCCCACTAGAAGTTCAAGGTTCATTTACAACACAAGGTGCTCCCTCTCCAAAAATAAGAAGTTATTTTCTCGTGTTCAGTGCCAGAAAAAGGATTACAGTCTTCCTGATTACATCATTCTAAAAATCTTAACAATATTAAGTTAGGTCCTCTGGATTGATTCTTGTTTTTTTGGAATGTTTCATCTTTTATCCAGAAGACTTCGTCAGTCTGAGATCTTGTAACAAGCTCAGTCTCATAAATGGAACATTCTCCTTGTGGATCAGCCACTTTGCTGCTGACAGTCAGAACCAGCTAATCAAATGCAAATGAAGAGTTTTCTACCTGGATTATGGAGAATGCATCAGGACATCATTCTGAATGAGGAAAACAAAATCCACATTTTCCAGACAGTGGAAATTAAGGAAATTTGAACACTGATATGCTGATTTGCCTCATGTGAAGGGAGTTTTTGGAGTATTTGGGCATGTGATAGTAGGATGGAGTGGGAGAAGGATCAATGGATTGGGGCCTTGTCTTCAGTAATGAGGGTGTTGCTTCGGTCAGTTGCGGTGAAGAGTTGAGTCATAAGGCAAAGCTCTGGATTTCCTGATCTGTCTACATTCCAGCCCTCACCAGTGGTTATAAGGTTTGGATCAGGACTGAAAGAACCAGATCCTGGATACAAGCAGCTGAAATGAGCTTCCTTTGTAGGGTGTCTGGGCTCAGACTTAGAGACAGGGTGAGGAGCTCCGTCATCCAGGGGGAGCTCAGAGTAAAGCTGCTGCTCCTCTGCATTACACTTGCTAAATTTAAAAACTCACTAAAATCCATTAAAAAATCTGGTTGATCTCCCCCTAGTGGTCAGACTTTACTTAGCATTGGACAGGGCTTTTCAATTACAAGTTAATGAAATGCAAACACGTTAAGCTTATAAAATATGACCGAGGGAAGACCAAAAATCCCAGTTTAACACAATTGCCAGAATTTGCAGTAGAATTTAAAAATTAATTTAAAAAATGCTGTCGACTTCCTTTGTCTGGTCCGACCCGAAACGTTCTCGTGCTTCTAAAAAAACAGTTCTTTGAATAAGTATTTTTCCTCCCACAGAGTTCTCATCCTTCACCTGAAACGGTACAGCTTTAACGCTCAGCTGTCCCTGAGCAGCAAGCTGGGCCAGCAGGTGCTGATCCCCCGATACCTGACCCTGCTGTCCCACTGCACCAAATCCACCAGAGCCCCCGTCAGCCTCGGCTGGACCACCCAAACCTCCACGTAAGACAAACCATTAGGTTTGAATAATGAATATAGAACTAGGGATGGGGCCGATCCAGTATCGGTATCGGCCTCCGATATCAGCATAATTTACGTATCGGACTTTTACGATCCAACCTGCAGAGATCCATGATGCATGTTGGCTTCAAACTATGGAATGGATTTCCTGAACGGCGGCGTGTCTCATGAACCCAGAGTAATAAGACCCGCCTCACATTCAGGAAATCCAGTTCATAGTTTGCAGCCAGCTACAACGTGAGGACTGAGTTAGCAGCACTGTGGCTAACAGCTAACCAACTTTTTATGTAAACACGTCCGCTGTGTGGAAGTATTTTACACTAGAAACACCACAAAACAAGACAGCAACGTGCAATGTCTGCAGAGCCATAGCGCCACATTAAACCGCTGTAAAGTTGGTTTTATGTTGGACATTCAAGCTCCGTGGCTTCAGCGGGGCGCTACTCTCGCTCAACCCGAAACAGGCAACTCGACCCCGGCCAGCTGCGTCTAATCTGCCCATCTCTGAGGAGGGACAGACCGAGCGCAGCTGACCGAATCAGGCTGCCTGCTTCGGATTGAACAAGAAGACGTCGATGAAGCCACGGAGCTCAAATGTTTACAGAGAAGTTGTTAAACTTCATCGTAATTAATGATCAACCACTATCAGTTGTAGAAAACAAAGGATTTCTCAGATTGATACTTGCAGCCAAGATATAGTTTACCCTCCAGATATATTTATCAGTACAACAGTAAACAATCATAAAAAACATGATTTGAAAATTACAAGAAAATTATATATATAAAATAAACTAAACAAAAACAGCTACATTATAAAGTGATGTAAATAACTAAAAACAGGAACATGTCTGTTGGTTTATGCCATGAACTTGGCAGGTGTTTAAAGCCATTTAACATTTAATTTTATTTAATTCATTTATTCATTCATTTAAAAGAAACAAAACAATCAAAAAGAAAACATTGAATGAAAAGAGTGCAGAAAGAAGAAAAATCTTATATCTGCCTCTTATTTAAAAAAAATATAAAATAACTTTTAAACAATCACTTAAATGAATCACTTTAATATCCACTTTAAAGCTATGAATAAAAAGAAACATGTTTTGTGTTAGCAGAATTTAATTCTAACATTAAAACTTATCCAACATTAATAGCTTAACTTAAGTTGCCTTTTTGGACATGCATGCATATATTTGTACAAATTGTACTAGAGAGCAGATTATTACAGCCTCATATAAAATCAATGATGATCATGATATCTGAACTGGATCGTATCGGTTGATATTCAGATTTAGGTATCGGGATCGGAAGTTAAAAAATGTGGATCGGTGCGTCCCTATAAAGAACTAAGTGTCGGGCAGTGCAAAGATTTTATTTTTTATCCAAAAAAATCATTAGTTTTGATCTAAATAACTGAAAAATAAATAAAGTCCTCTAATAAATAGATACATATTTTTTCATTATTTTATTTCTCCCAGGTCAAAAGCACCTAAAACATCACAGTCTATCAACTCCTCCACGGCACCTCTTCGGTGAGTTTCGCAACCGCATAGAGAAAAATAAACGTACACAAAACAAAGTTGTTCTTTAGAGCTCAGAACTTTTTGTTCCTGGAATAAAATTAGTTTCCTGCTCGTAGATGAAGTAATTTTTTATCAGTAAAACACTTTTTGTAGAAGAACCGGAGGAAGAGCAGCCAACTCCAGCTGCAGCTCCATCCTGTTGGACTCCGACTGTGAGGAGGAGCCCATCAGGAAGATAAGCGCCAGCCGTAAGCGCCGCCTCAGCAGCTGTCTGCCTGACGACGACGACCGTCCAGAAGAGGTGAGCGCCCGCACATCGGACTGTCCGCCTCCTTTCTCGGTCTGTCATCTTACAGTTCGGTGCACTTTCAGAGGGGAGCAACGGTGGATTCAACCGAGTTCGGCGGGATAAACGATGATGAAATGCTGGCGGCCGTGTTGGAGATGAGCCGACGGGAAGCCGGGCTGTCTGCGTCGCCCCCCCTGGAGGACAGGCAGACGAGCAGCCCCGACACCGGGTTTGGGGACTCGGACGTCCAGGACCTGGATAATCACACAGACCTGCAGGAACCGGAAAAACAACCTGCAGGTAACGTCATCAAGAAACTTTATGAACAGGTGTCTGAGGCTCAAAGGCTGCCACTGTTTCAGGGCTATTCAACTGGTGGCCCCGGGGCCAAACCAGGCCCACGGGCGTGCTCAGTTCGGCCCACCAATGGGTTCATTTTTAAATAAAACTAGATTCTAAATCGTAAAACAAATTTACTTAATGATAATAACTGCTGGATGCCCGGCCCCTGAGCTCTTGGCTTCCAGTAACTGTGGCCCCCGGAGCAGTTCATTTGAATAGCCCTGCTCTATTGACTGTTTTTAATATCTATTAATCTGTCCAGCTAATTTTTCAATTATTTGGTTAATCTAATCAACTGTTTCTCCAAAATGTATAAGTAACTTAATTATTTAACTTAAAAAAAGCAGCTTTTAAATTTATAGTTTACCACAAAATTAAATCTAAACAACAACTTGCACAATAAAATACAAAATCCAAGTTTAAAGGCTTGAGATGTTTTGGATTTGTATAGATGTGCTGGATTCCCTGGACTTGACCATGGATGAGAACAAGGAGAACCAGACCCCAGAGGGTGTGCAGCAGCAGGGGGAGCTGGACTGGGTCCAGCAGTACAATCTGGACCAAGAGAGGGAAGAACAGGAGCTGCAGCAGGCCCTGGCCCAGAGCCTCCAGGAGCACGTAAGAACCACGTGACGACTGAAGAAGCTAATTATTAAATTAAAACATTTTAAGGGCTTCAACGTGTCAGTGGAGAAAAACTTGAAGTAAATCTCTGCCGTCCTTCCCTCGTGCAGGAAGCCCAGGAGATGAGAGAAGACGACGATCTGAAGAGAGCCACTGAGCTCAGCTTGCAAGGTTTGAAAAAAGTGATTTAACTGCAAACTTTTTAAACTTTTCGGCCCCTGAGAGCCTGCTATGTATTTGGCCAAATGCACAGAACTTTGCTGTGTGATGGTTCCCGTCTGCACAGATCATCAGTTTAAATGTCAACAAGGAGAGGCAGAAGTCTGGATCAGTAGATTTGTTCTCCCAGAGTTGACTTATCCGGAGCGTTTGTTTAGAACATAAACTCTTCAGTCAGACTTTTTGGTTCGGTGAAAATGCTCCTGCACTCAGAGCTTCCTCTCGTCCCCCAACAGAGTTCAACAACTCGCTGCCGGAGCTGCTGTGCTCAGACGACGACTCTGGAAACGAGGACCATCTGGACATGGAGTATACTGAGGCAGAGGCAGAGAGCCTGAGGAGAAACGCTGAGGTACTCGACCTCCTGTCGTCTTTTAACGTCTGCGCCGTCGTTCGATCAAGGCAGATGATGAAATAGTTGTTTGTTCCTGTTGATGAACTCCTGCAGAGTTTGTGGACTCATCATGCACAGATTTTCTTCTTTGACGCTAAATAATAAATAAATTGAGGAACCTCACGTTGTTTTTTTGTAGCACCCGAGGGTCTAAATCCTCTGCTGTTCAGTCATTGTCTTCGTTACTCGCCTTCATTAAATGTAAAATGGTAAATTTTCTTATATTGTTTTATGAAAAGGAAGCGTCTCATTCTTTTACCTAATTTTAGTTGGACTGAGAGAAAGGATTAAATAATGACTACGTGTTTTTGTTCAACTTACAAAATAATTTGAAATAATTTAAACAACTCAAAACTTCACACATGGGAATAAAGTTGTACGAATGATTTGTCTACTTCGTTGTGCCAGCTCTTAATAGTCTCTGTAAACAAATGAAAAAAGATTTCTTAAGAACGTTGTTTTAATAGCTTTAATATAAAATCACAAACACGATGCACAGAAGTCTGTGAAGGCTAAACCTTATTCATACAGAAAGTGACTTTGTATAACGACGTAGAGATGGAAACGTCAGGAAATGCAGATTTTGATGCACCCGAGCGTCACCAGGCAGTTCATTGTGTTTGAACATTTCAGCGTTTATTTCAAACATTTTGATGATTAAATAGCGACCGGCTGACGTGTCCTGTAATCCACAGAGCGGAGACTTGGCCAACTCTTACAGACTCCTCAGTGTCGTCAGTCACATCGGGAGCAGCTCCTCCTCAGGTGAGCTGATCCGCTCGTACCAACAGAGATTCTACGTCTCTGTCTTCTCACTGCGTCGCTGCAAACGCTTAACCTCCCACGGATGGCCATGGGCCTTGCTGCACAGCCGATGGGGGAAATGATCATAAACAGATTCTGTCTTTGCAGGTCATTACATCAGCGACGTCTTCGACATGAAGAAACAGTCGTGGCTGACCTACAACGACCTGGACGTGTCGCGCACGCAGGAAGCAGCCGTGCAGCGAGACCGCGACCGCAGTGGATACATCTTCTTCTACATGCACAAGTGAGCGGTTTGGTGTTTTTGTCACATGGTGGTAGCGTCTCTGTCCTCTGGTTTACACACAGTGAGTTGTGTTCTTATAAATAATTACAACTACCGTACATTTCGCTGAATAAGTCGCACCTTTTTCCATAAATCAGCATGCCCTGCTGATTTCATTGATTCTGACATGGAAAATATTGAACGCTACCGTTTTCAGCCGCTAGAGGGTGCTCAAGTAGTATGGCAAGCCAAGTGTCTACTTAATAAATATGTCTATTAATGAGACGCTTGGCTTGCCATAAAAAGCCACCTTTGTCTCGCTCCAGAACTCCTGGAGCAAACGTTAAATCGGCTGCATTCGGCTGCGCCGCCCAGGCGAAATGCAGCCGATTTGACCATTAAAGTGCATTTATTAAGGACAAGTTCAACTGAGACACCTTTGCTGTAATTTAGAGCAAACAAACAATTGTTTTTAGGTGGTTATCTTGTTAAATTTCGAAGAAATGCACAGCGAGTCCTCCCTCTGCGCGCTCCCACAGCCACAAGTTGATTTTTGAAATGCAGCTGATTTGACAGTCAAAGTGCATTTATTAAGGACAAGTTCAACTGAGACACACCTTTGGTGTAATTTTGAGCAAACAAATAATTGTTTTTAAGTGTTAATCTTGTTAAATTTTTGTTAAAGTCCTCCCGCGCACGATACCGCGGCTGCCATTTGGCAGCCAATCTATCTTTGGCACAACACCGGCCCACATTTCCAGGTCGTCAGCGATGACGCGTAATAGATGCGACTTATTCGGCTGTGCGATGTGTACGGCGGAAAATACGGTAAACATGTTTCTAGAAATATACTTGGACATTCAGCTGCACGGTGAGAACAGTTGAATCAACACGAGATGATTTCTGATGTGTATTCTTTAAGTTCTAATCAAATCTTCCTTTTGTTAAAACTTGTAGAACCACCAGCCCACTAGGGGGCGCTCATTTTGTTTAGGCTGTACTGTTAAAGTGTTTAATAACAGAAATGACGGATTAAAGTTCCTGCAACACATTAAAAGTTTGATTAGGAGTGATTTGTATGTTGTAACGCCATGAAAACAAAACAGACACGTCAACCTGAAGTGGCTGTAATGACACAGATCAGCTTTAAAAATAAAATCCATTTCCCACATGATTAACTAATTTTTTTTAAAAAGAGTCAGATTTTCTTTTTGCCCCCCAGTTTTATAATTAGATTTGGGGTTGTAAATCTCTTCATCGTTTTCAGCTGCAGACAAAAACTGCAGTTAATTTCTGCTTTATTTTTACGTTTTGGGACAGATGATAGTTTAATACAAACATGCGTCAGAACTCTTGTTATATTAGACAAAGGTTCTGTTTGTATTCTGGACACAACTGAGTTGATCGTTTGTCCCCTCAGAGATGTGTTTGAGCAGCTGTCCGAGATGGAGAAATCTGGATCCAGCAGCACCTCGGAGGCAGGAAGGAACGTCCTGCAGCCCCTCTGAGCTCCACTCGGATCCAGTTCTGGTCCCGGGTCGATGAAGCTGAGCTGTGGACGATCGTCGGTTCTGACGTTTACTGTCCTTTTTGTTTTTGGCCTTTTCGAAGCACTTCTTCTTCTACAAATCTCTAAACGAGCCTTCAGACCTCCGCAGGTGGTAAACTACCAAGACTCAAAGTGAATCAGATTTTCCTCCATGTTTCTGAGGCCTGATTAAAAAAAAAACTAAAAAAAAAAAAAAAAAAAAAAAAAAATATATAGATGTATAAAGTTTTTGTTTTGTAAATATATTTTTTCTTTATTTACGACTTTCAACAAACTTTCTCTTTAAAAAGACACATTTATAACATCAGACAGGCTGGTGTTGTGCAGATCGCCTGTTTGCAGAACCCTTTAGTTCTCATCTAAATAAAGAAATTACGCTGGAGTAAAAGCTACTTTAGAGCTACAGGCTCGTTGTATTAACAGGTACATTTGGTGCAATATTTAGGTTGGGGCACAAACGGTTCACACTTCAAATCTATTATTTTGTTTGTTTTGTGTGTGCGTTGTTAATCTTCCAATTGTTTTGTGCTCGATTTGACTCGTGCGTGCATTTTTTTTTCTTTATTTTAACATCGTCTGAAGGAAAATGTTCCAGTTAGTCATATTTTTGGGTTTTGACCTTGTGCCTCCTAAGAAAACGTATAAATACGTGGACGAGCTTTACTTTGAAAGGTGCACAACTTAGTTGTTTTTGTTTGTTGGACCTTATTGTGCAAATCCGATGTTCCTAAATATATATCTATATAGATACAACCAAGATTTTTTTTTTTTTTATAGTATTTGCAGCAGAGGGTGAATTTGTTTAAATTATCCTAAGAAAAAAAATCACAATGCAAGTCGTTCTCACCAGGAAAACTATATAACATAATTCATGTTCCCATCTCTTCCCAGTATCTACCCCTTTGGTTCTTGCTGCTCCTGTCGGGACATTTACTGAAAAAAAAAAACAGATTTTTCCGCCACTGTAAAGATCAGTCTGTAATTCCCCTCATGAGATTGTTTTATCAGATTTTCATATTTTAGCATCAAATATTTAAATTCATGTAAGAGGGCTGTGTAGGTGGATATTAAAGAGGTGCGCACTTTTAATAACCGACGCCATGGAAGCCCGATGTGCTGTTGCACCCGTCGGTGAAAGTTACTGATTTATTTGCCCGTATTGAGCTTCTTTTTTTTTTTTGTTTCCCAGCCTGCGCTCTTCTTAACAGCCTGTTGTGAGGGTCTGTGGATTTAATGGCGTGAGAGTGAACAGCTTTTTCTACCCTTCACACACGACTTGATTCTTCCTATAGCAGATTTTAATAAAAATAAAGTGAAAGAAACTTTTGGAGCTTATTTTTAATGTTTTAAATCCACAAACGGATCTTGTCTTGCAGCAGGTCTTGACAATAAAAATGGCAACGAGTGTTTTTACAGTTTATTATAAATCACATCCTTGAGCAAAACATTTAGGGAGAGTGCAAAACGGGTGGTGCAGCCGTCCCAGCCGCCGTCACGTGTCCTGGCTGACCCTCTTCATGAGCGGCTCCAGGCGTCGGCCGGTGAGTTGGCTGTACCTGCTCAGAATGTAGCTCTCCTTCTGCAGCATCTGCAGGAACATTACACCGGCGGTTGTTTAGGAGCACGTTCACATGAACGAGAAGTTTTAAGTACAGGTGGACTTCTATGCTTTGGAGAACATTTGAAATTAGGGATTCACGATATTAGATTTTTGGCCGATATTCGATACCAATACCGATATTTCCCCCTAGACCTACTTGGAGACTACATAGCTTTCTCTGCTGTAGAATTAAAATACATTATTCTGCCTGGTCTTTATCAGTTTGGCCTGCGACCAAATGAAGATGCCAAAAAGGGTCTGAAAACGATGTAACGCTTCAACTTGGATTATGTTTAATGTCAAATTTATTCTCGACATTTAACACAATGACACTCGGAACAGTGCAAATTTGTAAATTTTCACAAAATCTAAACCTGTTTACAAGTGAAAGGCGTATTAGTAGTGCATTAATAGATAAACTTGACAGATTCTTAAATTAAAAATTAACTTGAATCAGAAGCTTTTTATATTGGTGTTTTTGATGCAATGTCCGATATTTAACTTTTTGGCTAATATCGGCTGATACCATGCTGACAATATCGTGCAACTTACTTAAAATTAAAGCAGATTTAAGATCAACGAATGACGATCTTCAATGTTTTCACTACAGAAGCAGTATTGAGTTTAATCAATGCATTGACAAATAAAAATTCACTCCATTACACTTCAAATGTGATAAAAGTTGGGACAAAATTTTAAAAAGGATTTTTTTTTTCATATAAACTTCAAACTAACCTCAGTCCATTCCTCATCAGTTTCATGCCTGTAGCCCAACAGGTGGCAGATGCCGTGAGCCGTGACGACCTGAGGCAGGAAAAAAGTTGGACCTGATTACTGTAGTTAAAAAAAGACCGATAATTTATTTTTTTTTACATACTTTGTGGAAAATATATATATATTTTTAATTATTACTGACAAAAATCAGCCCAAACTTTGCAATTTTAGGTTAGTTTAGGATTCCGAAAATGATTTCTATTTGCTAAAGGCCTGAATAATGATTTACAAACAGTTTCTTTACTTTCCACTAAGTCAGATGTTAACGTTCAGTAAGGTTACTATGTCCCAGATGGTGATGTCATGGCTTTGTAAGCTTTTGATTGGTTAGTTAACAACATGCAAGTGAATTGGAAGCACCCACTACTACTTTGTGTGGCATCATGGTGTAGTTTAGGGAAAATTTAATAAAATTGGGCGCCAAAAACTCGCACAATCAAACACACGATTGTACATTTCAAGCCCCCCAAAAAAGGATTTCCTCCCCGTCTGCCATCACCGTCACCAAGTTCCAACCAGCTGGAAGACACATTTACAGTTTTGGCTGAAAAATATGTTTTTGTTTCATTAGTTAAAATGTCAGTGAAGTAACAGACAAAACAATGCCTTGATATTTTTCTTGCAAAGTTTAACAAGGTAGAAAAACTGAAATATAAACGCGATGGAAACCATATAAGAGACGGGCTCCGTGTTCTTGAGATGATCGTCTTCTGGTGGAAAATGTGTGCACAAATTAAAGGCTAAGGATCTTGTGAAAATGCTGCTGAAGCTGGTCAGAGTCATTCACAGTGAAACAAGTCCTGGACCACCATGGACTGAGAGAACTCCGCGAGGAAGAAGCCATCACTCCCAAATCAACAAAGAATTTGTAGTTTGAAAATGCACACAGCGACAAAGACTTTGATGTTTAGAAACTTGTCTGATGAAACAAACTGAACTGCTTGGACAACATGACTGTTACATTTGGAGGAAAAGGGCAAGCCTGAAAAACACCATCCCAACTGTGAAGCACAGGGGCGGCAGCACTATGGTGTGGGGGTGTTAAGCTACAGGAGAAACAGGTGTACTTCACAAAATAGATGGCTTCATGTCATGAAAGGAGCATTATGTGGAAATATTAAAGCAACATCTCAAGACAGCCAGAAAGTTGAGGCCTGGACACAAATGGGTTTTCCAAACGGACAAGGACCCTAAACATACGGCCTGATTGGTTACAAAGTGTCTTAAGGACAATCAAGTCAATGTTTTGGAGTTGACATCATAAAGCCTGGCCTATAAACCTGACTCAGTTACACTAATTGTCCTGAGGAGCGGTGTCTGTATACTGTTTTCAAGAAGTTGTGTTCGTATAAACTCACAGTCAGAGAACCATGAAGATCTAATGATTCCTCCTGACACTGCTTCATCACAAACTCAACCCCTAGAAAAATGTCCCCAAGGTTCAGCTCATCTCTGTGAAGAGGGCAAGGCAGCTTCCCTGGTCTCAGGTCCTGAAAATACGCACACACACAAAAAACAACAACACAAAAAACATGATAAAATAGCACATCTACAGAACCAGATGGTTTAATTTGTCATATTTCTGTGTTTACCTCATAGAATGGAAACGAGAGGACATCTGTAGGGACGTTTTTCTTTCTGTATATGTGATTAATCTGCTGAATCCTGTGGTTGTCGACGCAAATGATGCCCAAATCAAATTTCTGGATGCCCAGTATGTGTCTCAGGGTGTCCACGTCTTTGCGCAGCCTGGAGCGGCGGAGCGGTACCACCTTTTGAAGATTTCGTATTACTACTCCCATTTTAAGAATAAACAAAAAGAACACCGCTGTGAGAAATTAAAAACAATATTTCAAGACATGGCTAGACGTGAACTCGACCTCTAATGACAACTAGCTTGGTAGTTGCCAGTTAGCTTCAAACATTCAGGGCCGGTGAGATTTCAAGGTGACACACCACTCAGAAGCCAGTTTGCGCAATAGTAGCTTCCGGTTAGGAGGTTAAAGTGGTTTTGGTTGTACTACTTTTTTGGCCTCAGACACAAGTTTTCTGATCCAAAGGTAGTAAAAGTGCATTTAAAAAACACTTAAAATGCTATTTTTGTTGAACATCCATAAAAATAAAGGTTTCACACAGATCACAAAACGGTTTAAAATAATTTATATTTAGTTCAGGTTAATTTAGTCCAGATTTGACAAGTCTAAATCTTGAATATCTTCAACTAGAACTAATTTATTGCGGTCCATGTCAAAAATAAAAAAGATAACTTCTTTTTTAAACTGTTCCTTGTTATTCTAAACTGAAAGCAAACTTCAGCTACGTCACTATCAGAGTAGTATACGGCCAATCTTCGTGTGTTTATTGTTAAAATTATTGAAAGGAAAAAAAAACTTATCCATTAAAGAAATGTGGCACATGCCTATTTTTTTTTTATAACCTCCTTTATGTACTCTGTTGAGACACGGAACAGAGTGAAATGATGATCGGGGACTGAGGAATTTGTCGGACCGGAACCGGAAATACGTTTTAAAAATGTCTACTGCTTAAACAAAGCCAAAAGAAAAGAAAACTCCGAAATTCAAATAAGGAGTTTCGTATGTATTTCTTTGCTTACCACATAAGATTCTTTAATTTTCATTTATGTGTGATAAATGAACAATTAAAAAAGTAGTTTCCGGAGAAACATTAGCCATGTTTGTGTTGTTAGCGGATGCTAAAAGTTAGCTTAGTGGCGCATTTTGAGTTTTTAGCCCACATTCTTGTTGCGGACTGAATCGATGTCAGATCATTATCGATTGCATGCGCCATGAACCCACCTAACCCGTTCGGAAGTCCACACGGGGGAGCTTTTCAAGCCCCGAACAACTCCTCTAAGCCTGTTCTGTTTCAGACTTTTGGTCAGCAGCGTTCCAGCTCTCAGGGCCAGCAAAGTGTGGGCTTTTTTCAGCCATCCGCCTTTGGACAGCCGTCTGTGATGAATCAAACTGTAGCTCAGAGCAGTTCCATTTTCGGACAGCCCTCGATGATCCAGGTTCCAGTGTTTGGACAGCCGTCACTGGGAACGACGGGGGCAGGCTTTGTGAGTGGTACAAAACCGGTTTTTGGACAGAATCAAAGTTCAGTTTTTGGTCAGACTAGAGGACCTAACCAGAATGTAGTCTTTGGGCAGACCAGTGGACAGAACCAGACTCCAGCATTTGGACAGACAAGTGGACCGAATCAGTCCTCAACATTTGGACAGGCAAGTGGACAAAATCAGAGTGCCGTTTTTGGACAGACCAGTGGACAGAACCAGACTTCAGCCTTTGGACAGACGAGTGGACAGAATCAGACTTCAGCCTTTGGACAGATGAGTGGACAGAACCAGACTCCAGCATTTGGACAGACAAGTGGACCGAATCAGACCTCAACATTTGGACAGGCAAGTGGACAAAATCAGACTTCAGCCTTTGGACAGACTAGTGGACAGAGTCAGACTTCAGCCTTTGGACAGACAAGTGGACAGAATCAGACTTCAGCCTTTGGACAGACTAGTGGACAGAATCAGACTCCAGCATTTGGACAGACGAGTGGACAGAA